GTGCCTAAGAAACCGACCTTGCTTGTCTTCGATTTCTTCAGGGGACACTTGACTGAGGATGTTAAGAAGATTGCGAGACTATGAAAACCAAACTTGCGGTTATTCCAGGTGGCCTGACTTGTCAGCTTCAGCCCCTTGATGTTTCCATTAATAAGGCTTTTAAGGTGGCACTACGAGAAGAATGGAACCACTACATGATGATGACAACAGGAGACAATCTTACCAAAACTGGTAGACTGAAGAAGCCATCAATTGGAGAAGTTTCTGGGTGGGTAAAGAATGCTTGGATCAGTGTGAAGATCTAGATCATTGTCAAAGCCTGTAAGAAAATGTGGAATCTATAATTCTCTTGATGGTTCAGAAGATCATTTGATATATGAAGATGGCGATGAAGATGATACAGATGAGGAAGAACTGTTAGCTAAATTCGATGTCAGTGATATTGAAGAAGATGAGGAATGTGAGGGGGTTGTCACTATACCTGATGCACCAGAAAGTGATGATGAGTGTATGAGCGATTATTATGAGTCTTGAATTTTGTTTGTTTTAAAACTTTTCTTTCTTTGTAACTTGTTTCACTAATACAATATTTTTTCAAAACTTCACAGTCAAAAAATTGGGGGGTAGCTTATACAAAGAGGGTGCTTATACATGGGGAAATACGGTACTATTTATCTGGGTTCTTTGATGAGGCACAAAGTGATTTGTTTAGCTCAAGTCATATGTCCATGTCGAAGCATGTGAATGTGTCTGTCTGTGTACGTGTATGTGAATGTGTATGTGTATGTGTTCGCATATATAAAGAAACCAGCAGTTATGGCTCAAAGTAGAACAGAAAAAGTAATATCTGTTCTTGCCGCTATTCCTTACATTCATTGTATTACCTTTTCGGTTTATTTCGATGGCTTCTCTAACTTGATGTTTTGCCGCAGACATGCCACCTTCTCCAAAATGATAAGTTTTAGACCATTCAATCTCATTCCTGTTCTTGCCTTGTGCTCAGCTAGCTTTGATTTTTTAACCCAATCGCCTTTACAGGCGCTCTTGTGCTCTGCCACCCTTTGTCGAATTGGATGACAAGTCTCTTAAGAATAAAGGCGACCACATGAATACATTATTTAATAGCAACTCGTTCTGGATAATGAGTAAAATTTCTCTGTAAAGATTGGCATGACTAACGAAAACGTTGTAGTTTCAATGAGGACCGTTTCTATTCCCCGCTTCCATACTAGTTCCCTTATCTATTTAGAGAAAAAGTACGAAGAAAAAGGCAATTTTGAATACCTTTTCGAATGGCGAATACGTAAGAAGAGATAAGGGGACCTTTTTCCATGTTTTGCCTTTTCCTCCATACATTCTCTCTAAGGAGATAGGCGAACGAGTAAGGGAGTGGGGAATAGAAACGATTTTCAAGGAAACTACGACACTTCAATTGTGCCAACTTTTAGGGAAAATGTGGAGCCATTATCTAAATCGGATTGCTACAAGGTAATGTGTTCATGTGGTCGCTTTTATGTTGGAGAGACTTGTCATCCCATTCTACAAAGGGTGGCAGAGCACAAAAGCGCTTGCAAAGGCTATTGAATTTAAAAAATAGAGCAAGCTAAGCACAGGGCAGGAACTTGACACGATATTGAATGGCCTCAAACTTCTAGTTTTTCTAATTGTGGTATGCATGCGACACAATGTAAAATTATAGAAGCTATCGAAATAAATCGAACAGGGAATACAATGAATGTAAGGAATATCGGCAAAAATTTAATTAAAAGCTACTTGTGCTTGACTAATAGACTCAAGAATAGAGAGGGTGTTGAGCCGATTCCAAAAGGAGTCAATTTAACTAGTCTTTTGTCTCCGCTCATATACAAAAAATAAGTAATGTTATCGATTGCTATAGAAAAAATACCTTTGCTTCTTGGGAAATCCCATTAAAGAATGAGATATGAAAAAAGGCCAAGCCTTCATTGATATTCACATCTGCCCTGTGATCCAAGGACACTCGTGGCAATGTGGCTGAGTGGTTAATGTGTAAAGCTAACACGCTGCATTGTCACGGTTTGACTCCCGCTGAAAGTGTTAATAAGACCTAGGCGAGGTTGAAACTGCAGTCCACCCTGGATGAAAACAACTTTTGGAAAGCAAGGATATGTGAAGTTCAATGGAAACGTCAGCTCAGCACTGGGGGGTAATTCTACTACCAATTTTTCATCACCTTAAACGAACTAGGGTGAGTGCATCCCATATTACTTGTAATCCCGAAACTCGATCTCTACACTTCTCTGTACTCTTGGCCCACTCTTTCTCTCTCACCTGAAGACAAAAAAGCTCATCAACATAACCAAACGTGTGTCCGACCTTGCACAATCGGATTTATTGCTAAAACATATACATATATACATAGATTTTTATATATAACAAGAAAAGGTGATGATGGTCATCAAACCTTGATGGCCGAGAACAAAAGTTACTTTTGCTGTCCTAATTACTTTGAGCCATCATTGCTGCTTTCGTGCATATGCAGACACATACGGGCACATACATATACGGAGACAGACACATTCGCATGCTTCGAGGTTGATATATGGCTAAAACTAAACAAATCACTTTGTACCTCATCAAAGAGGTCAGTTATGGAGTATATATACAGCTTTTTAGGGATGAGCTTGAGAGTTTTATTGACTCGTTAACCTAAGTTTGGTTGTAAGGATGATACCCTGCTCTGATGATGTTCGTCATACGACAGACGATAGCTTAGCACGTTTTCACCGGAATCGAAGGAGCTTTCTTCTGAAACAGCGTCAACAAGAATGTTCCAATAAAGCCAAACGGCAGCGGGTGTAGAAGAATCCGCCATCGTTTTATAGTTGGATCGATCTTTTAATATCTTCACTAAACAAGATATTCCTCGAAACCCAACTTTTCTTTGCACATAAATACTAGCTTAGTTTCGAGGAATCCCTTGTTGATTTAATATAACTCGTCTTTTTATTTCATTGGGATAGTTGTTTGGAGGGGATTTATAGAATAACCTTGCCAGAAACCGAAATAGGAATGAAAATTTTTGTTCTTTGCGGGGAGTCTTTAACTCACTGTCTTTCGACACTGATTAATCTTAGCAGGCTTTTACATCTATTATGTGACAGATGCCGGTAGAGAGAAAAAATCCTTATGTTACTAGAGACCGCACCAATAGCTGGTTGAAAGCCTTCTAACTTTGTATACCCATTATTTCGACCCAAATGAGGCATTATATGATTTGATTGCCTACTCCTTATTTATTCCACATTCTTGCTACCGAAATGCCACAGATGGGTGAAGTTAATGCATGACATGAAAGAGGTTGTGACCACAGCTTTTTCCTTATATAGATAAACTAGCGTTTGAATCTGCATTATTGGCACCTGTTTAAGTTTGTGATAGTATACATTATAAATATGAATTAACCAACCAAATAATGAGATACCTCATTAAGATCGCAACATTAGGTATAAGAAGTGACTAGAACTGTAGCCGGCCAACCCATTCTTGGTTTAATAGATATGGTGTTATTTTTCACAAATAATGCCTTCTCGTTCAGACGATAACTTTCGCATAACGGAGAAAAGCTCGGCCTGAATTGCTCTGAGTTGCAATACGGTGAGCCGATAACTTCTTAACACAGTCAAAAAGTCTTTATTCTCTTCCTTTCGATTAGTATTTGCAGGCCTTTTGACTCCAAAAATCTTTACGCTTATACGGAGACCCCAAAGTTGCAAGTATTTTTTGTTTTTTCCTTATCCTTATCACCGACCAGTGACTTTCATTGTATCTTCTATGCATTATCGAGCTGGCTATACATCACCTGATTCTTACTCTTGAACTAAGGGGGTACAGAAAATTCTCAGGAAAATAATGAAAAAGGCTAATTGATATTTGAATTTTCAGGTACAGTCGTACCAGAATTCACTTCATCTTATCCTTACCATGCGTCCACTATATATAGTGCTCGGTAGGAAGTTTTTTGCACAGTATTGATGTGAGTCTATAATCAGGTAAGTATGTCGTTTCGAATATGATTATATAATTCTCGATATATTTGAAAAGAAAGATGATTTCCTGATAGACTGCATGGATTTTCAGGCTTCCTTTCAATCGAAATTGAGATCGTAACTTATCGGTGGATGAAATGATTTTCTGAAATTCTCACCAGTGTTTCTTCTGGCGCAGTAAAATTGGAGCGTATGGGGAATAAAATTACCTGTTAACTATGAAATATGGTGTGGGTTTATTCCCCCTTCCTTCCTTTACTTTTTATCTTTTCTTGGCATGATACCTTGGCTATGATTAGAAAAGCTGAGAAAATGTATATATATATAGTGTCAGAAGTCCTCTGTTATAGTAGTTATAATATTTCCAAACGTCGGACCGTGGACCTGGTACATTCTGAGGCGTTTTGCCGGCATTGTAGTCGACATCGTCATTAAGTCTTGCCATTTTTAGCACCAGGCTACAAGACGTCCGAGACAAGTGAAATCTATCCCTTGTTTGCTAAACAATCGTGGCATCTCTCCTGCCTTGGGATAACCACTAATCCTATATTCCCGTATCACGCATTCACTATCATAATTTTTACTTGCTTTTTTAAATGTGGTATAGTGTGTTCTTTTGAGCGGATCTCATGGGATCTCTCCACACTCCATACTGGCTTTCTCGCCCTCTCACCCCCCTTCACTCTTGTGCTGGGAATGTGGCTCAGAGTCTGCCATATTGTTATGCGGTCCTCCTTTTATAGGTATTATCAGAGTCTCCATCTTGCACCGTAGGATCCGTCTGCTATCTCCCTGGTTCAAATATTTCATTTGGCCCCTGCCATCCCATCTGTGCTACTCAAGCCGTTATTTCTCACACTGCATCTGGGAGACTAACTTGAGGCTAAAGCCCCTGAGTAATTCTCATGGTCAAGC